TCTGCCCCCTGGATCCAGGGAGGCTTCTCAGGCCAGGTCAGCTGGGGTCAGGGCATGGGGGGGGGGGGGAAGATCTGCAGCCAGGGGCCCGGCCCCTGCCCCACTCCAGCCTCCTGGACTCTGCCCTGGTGTTTGCCCAGCCTGCACAGGGCTCGCCAGGTCCTGGCAGGGGGGTGGTGAAGGGTGTGCATGGCTGGGGGGTGGTTGGGCTGGGCACGGGGCCGGGCATGGATCCCTGCCTGCTGGAGGTCTTTGAGCCACGCTTGGGGGTCTCTGGCCCCGGTGGGGCTGGCTGATTCCCGAGGGAGAGGGGGTTTGATTGGAGGATCGCACGGGTGCTCCTCAGGGCCCAGTTGTGGGAGGTGGGTTTTTGACAGGACTGACGCTGCCCTGTGGAAATAACCTGACCCCTGCCTGGCATCCCAGCGCTGGGGTCGGGGTGGAGGGAAGGGGCCATCGGTGCAACCTGCCAGAGAGCCCGGAGCCCCCTTCTGCTGCTGCCGCCTGGGCACTTCTAGGGGTCTCTGCGCGGGGCCAACCGCAGCGGGGAGGGGTGAGAGGCTGCTGCAGTCCCCTTCGGGGTAATGAGTCCGGCACGGTCTCAGCCGGGCTCCTCCGACATCTCCCCAGCCTGGCATCCCGGTGGGCCAGACCATTGCCCGGGCACCGGCTGGGGACGCTCGCAGAGAGAGGGCGAGGGTCAGGTTCTGATCTCGGCTCCGCCAGGGCGAATCCGGAACAACTGCCCCAGACGGACACCAGGGGAACCGTTCTCCAGGGGATTGGTCTGGATTCGCCCAGCCCAGCGGAGCTGAGATCGGAACCTGCCCCTCGGGCGGCAGGTCGCTGTGGATTGGGACCTCGTTAGGGGAGGGGCTCGCCCTGGGTGGGGAGGGCTTGCCCTGGGTGAGGAAGGCAAGGCCTGAGGTGCTGGGGCAGTTTCAGGTTCGGAGGACCTGTCGCCAGTGGGGCCTGGTGAACGGGGTGTCGCCCTGACGCTGGGCTCTGGACTGGAGGACGTTGGGACTGGGGCGGGGCGGGGGGTCTTACTGCCTGTATCTTAACGGGAGTCAGTCCAACCCAGTGACCCCCATCCCCACGTAAAATGCACATCCCGGTGCCCCAGGGAACAGAGGCAGGGCAGGGGGTCTAGGAAGTGGACCCAGCCTGGCTTCCACGGCCCGGCCGTAGGCGTTTTGTCCAGCACCAGCGAAGCGCTCCCCGGGGAGGGCGGGGGCTGTTCTATCACAGGATGTTTTCACCCCCGCAGCACAGAGGGGGAATCGAGGCAGCGAGGAGAGGGACGCCTGGCAGAGCGGGGATTGAACCTGGGTCCCGCCGAGTCCCGGGCTGCTAGGCCATGCCACCTCCCTCAGCCCTGCGCAGTCCTGCCCGGTGGCTCTTCTGTGCCCGGGGGCGGGGAGCAGCTGTTGGCCGGGCGGGGTCTCCTACCCTGACTTGGGGATTGACAGCTGTCAGTCACGCTGACCCGCTGGGAGCTAGGGGTGTTGGGAGCTTTCTGCTTCTCCTCTCAGCGGCCCCATGGCCCGGTCTGAGCCCCCTGCTCCCACCCGTAACCTCCAGCCCCCTGGGTCCTGTGATGCCAACGAAAACGTGGTTGAGCGGCAAGGGGGGAGGAAGGCAACTGTGCCCCAGCGCCCCCTGCTGGGGGATAGAGATCGCCCCCCCCCCCCCGGGATCATACTTGTGTGCAGCCCCCCGGTCAGGGTAACAGTGCCGGCATTGCATCCCTTCGGCCTGCAGCCCTGACGCTGTCCTGACGGCACGTCTGCGCTGGGATCCCAGCCCCCGGCGTCCAGAGGGACTGAGCCGGAACAGCCAGAGCGGGGGCTGAAATCCCAGCTTGGGCCAGGCCAGAGGCAAGGAGAGGGCCAGGGACTTGCTCGAGGTTTCAGAGGGAGCAGGGGCCTGGAGGAACCGCAGTAACAGCTGGGGAGCTGGACCCCCCCGTCCCGCTCTGCCTGAGCGCTCAGCCCTGGGGAGCTGGACACCCCCCCCGTCCCGCTCTGCCTGAGCGCTCAGCCCTGGGGGGCTGGGGGGTGGATCTTCCAGGGGAACAAGTGAAATGAGTTTGCTGGGTCTTGGCCTGGTCCCTAGTAGAGGGTGAGTCCACAGCACAACTGCTGCTGGGTTCAGCGCTACTGACTGGTTTCTGTACAGGCAGGGCCCAGGGCAGGGCTGGCAGGGGCTGCGGGTCGGGAGTGAGGGGCACTGGCAGAGCTGGGGGGAGCCCAGGAGGGGCTGCGGGTCGGGAGTGAGGGGCACTGGCAGAACTGGGGGGAACCCA